CTTTTTCTCTTAGCAATAGCAGTTAGCCTTACACACAGGTTCACAGTGCTTTACAGTCTTCTCTACACTGTTTACAGAGTCCGGATATTGCTTCCAACAATCTGGGTCCTTGTTTTACCAACCTCAGAAGGATAGAAGGCTGAGCCAACTCTCCTTCCCCCCGCCCCCAACTTCCTGTTCCCCTTCTCCTTCCTCCCCTCCACCTCTTTTAATTCCAAAATGTCTTGTGGAAATATTAAAGCATGGAGTATGAGAAAATATCAAACGCTAAAAGCCACAAATGTACAATTGTCATGTATACCATTGTGCCTTTCTCCCCACCCCACCCCCCACTTTGTTAGCGCTCTAAAAAAAGAAAAGAAAACCAGAAAGTCGTTCTGCATTTTCTGTAATGTCGTTTTCTTTTATTGTAGGTGGTTCTTCCCACTTTTATTTTAGAGAAGCGCTCTTTGTTGGAAATGTATGCCGATTTCATGTCCCATCCAGATCTGTTCATTTCCATTTCCAATGCCACAAGTCCCGAGGAGAGGATGATCCGTTTTGTTGAGTATTATCTCACTTCCTTTCATGAAGGACGCAAAGGGGCAATTGCCAAAAAACCATACAATCCAATCATCGGGGAAACATTTCACTGTTCGTGGAAGATGGGGAAGAGCGATGTACTGAATGGCACTAACAGTAACCCTTCCTCTCATTCTGCCTCTGAGCAAGTGCCTGTTTCAGAAGAGAGCCAGGCTCAAGAAGAGTCAGACTCTTACGCCGTCCGATTTGTCGCAGAACAAGTGTCTCATCATCCTCCAGTCTCAGGGTTCTATGCTGAATGCGTGGAGAGAAAGATGTGCGTTAACGCCCATGTTTGGACAAAAAGCAAATTCCTGGGCATGTCAATAGGAGTAACCATGGTTGGTGAAGGTAAGTGGGAAATGTTGCAGTGCTCGTTACGGTCTTCGGACACTTACAAGCTACAGCTCTGGACTGCTGCATTTTTTAAAAAAATGTTATTATTCGTTGAGCTGCGATGTATTGCTAATCCTTTGACACAGCCTGCTCCAGTCTAATGACTTCCTAAAGCACGGGTGTCAAACTCGCAGCGTCACGTTGCCGTCATGTGATGTTTTGCGACGTTTTCTCCATTCGTGGATCTGGGGTATGTGCGGCCTGCGTGTGATACATCCAGCCTGCGGGGCCCCTAGTTTGACACCCCTGCCCTAAAGTGTTGGATAACGGGCTGGTAATTATTGGTAGTCCTTGACTTACGACCAAAATTGAGGCCAAAACTTCTGTTGCTAAGCTGGGCACTCGTTAAGTGAGTTTTGTTTCATTTTACAACCTTTTTGCCACAGTTGTTAAGTGAATCATGTGGTCATTAAGTGAATCTGGCTTCCCCCATTGACTTTGCTAGTTGGAAGCCAGTTGGGAAGGTTACAGATGGGGAACACATGACCCCGGGACAGTGCAACTGCCATAAATACATGCTAGTTGCCAAGCGTCCAAATATTGATCCATGGGTATGCTGCAATGGTCGTTAAGTGTGAAAAATGCTATTGTAATTTCAATCAGTAAAAATGGGTTAATATGTCAAGGACTACCTATATGGGAATTAAAGTAGGAAAGAGACCTACGAGATAATCTAGTGTGGTCTCGGCCTAGTATGGGAATAACACTACAGCATCCCTAACCAATGGCCATGCAGCTACTAGTTAAATACTTAGAGTGAAAGAAAGATCGCCACCTCTAAAGCAGTCTGTTGTTTAATAACTCCTATTCCTAGGATGTTCCTCCTCATGACTACCTGTAATCTGTTGCTCTGTAATTTATGCTCATTATTCCTGAAAGGCCCCTGAACAAATCTATAATGTCTTTTATGTGACAGCGCTTCATATACTTGAGTACAACTATTATGTCTCCCCACAGTCTTCCCTTCTCCAGAACAAACACATACAACACTAAGTTTTTCCTTCCAGGCCCCTTGTCATCTTGGTTCCAGTTCTCTGGACATACTCTGATTTGGCAATATGAGTTCCTAAGATGTGGCACCAAGAACTAAACATTGTGCTCTTACCAATGTAGAATAGAGAAATGATGTCCTCTCTTGATTAAATCCTTCTGTTGATGCAGTCTAGGACTGAATTTGCTTCTTTTGCAGCTGTGCCACACTATTGTTTGCTTGTAATCCACCACTTCCTGAACTCACGCCTTTCATTTTTCCTTGCCATATGAAAGACTTTTCATTTATCTGTACTGAAATTCACCTTCTTATTGTTCTGGTTAATCAAAGCCCTTCTGCATCTTGATACTATCCTCTTTGCTGTCTCTCCTCATTTTTATCTCACAGGAATTTTTTCCTATTTATTAATTTCTCCTGCAAGTAGTTTATAAATATGAGGGCCTAGAATAGAATTCTCTATAAAATTTCTCTTTTAGTGACAAATTCTACAGCTACGACAGTAATGAAAAAGTAACTTTACAATCGTCACATTTATGACCTTCGCAGGTCCATAAACCAAAGAAAAACTGAAGCAAGATTGTGAGCACAGTGGCATTTTTGCTTAGTGTTCGTTTCACATAACAACAGAGGTACAGGTCTCATTTGTGGCTTCTCTCATTCTGCTAAACGGAAACTGCTTATCATCATTACATCTTGACATGATGCCCTTTATATATTTTTGTGTGGGTATGATTGTTCTGAATCCAGTTAATACCAGTATCATTCAGTCTGTATTTTGCCATATTTTCCACTATGATCTCAAGGGAGGCTCTACTGAATGATTTGCTGAAATTGGGCCACAATATCTACCTCATTCCTGTAGTTAATTTAATCATTTATTCTATCAAAAAAGGATAGAGAGTGAATTGAGTTGCGTCTCAAAATACCAGATCCTGCCATACAATGCATTTTGTTATTGTCTGGGAGAAACCAGATTTTTTAAAAAATGAAATATGAAGTGCCTTGTAAGTGCATACAAAGACAATTGCTCTGCTAATTAATTGTAATGAAGGCTTCTCTAAAGCACGAAGGAGTTAGGAAAAATATTTTGAGAGTTATAACAAGCGTAATAGAGCTGGTATATATGTTTTTGTTTTAGAAGCAAGATGACTTTTAAATTTAATGATTGAAAAAATCATTAACGTTGCTTCAGTCTCCACAGGTTTCCTAATTTCCATATGTGAATTTCCCCCCCCAATCAGACGATACGTTGTGTGTTTCATCCAGGTTTTTTTTTTTAGTTTTTCTTCTGCTTGTGCATTTCCATTTATGCCACATCTTAGGTCCCTTTGGTGAATCTGTAATATTATCTATAAATAATTGGCTTTGATGGTTGATACATATCCAGCCCAGGACAAGCAGTAAAAAAAAGCCAGTTTTGCTCCATAATTCATGTTTGTAATATGAATCTATATGACAATATTTATGAGTTTGGGGTTTTTTGTTTTGTTTTAATTGTGTGTGTGTGTGTGTGTGTGTGTGTGTGTGTGTGTGTGTGTGTGTATTAAGTATTTGCGGGTACTTACATGTGTGGTATTCAGCTTTGTTCGGGTATTTTCCTACATCACTATAGTTGTGCTTTTAAAGTTGTAGCAACGTTTTGGCAGAATCTCATCTGCCATCATCAGGCATTTAGTTAATGTGTATTGTGTTCGTATATATCCAGCCTTTATTATCACCTCAGAACAGCATAAATGTAGGGGAGTGGAAATAATAGAAATCACCACACAAAAAGCAAGATGTTCCTCAGATGTACTGGACTACAGCACTAATAATGCTAGCCCAGCAGAATCATTTGCCACAGTGGCTAAGAGCAGATCTGGGTGTTTTATGGCCCATGAGCCACATCTGATCTGTTGTGGCCTGTGGGCCACATCCAATCTTTTGGCTGTCTCTGTCTGTGCCGCAGCAGTGGCCGCTGCAGCCCTGTTGGTTTGGCCCTCCACAAGAGTCCCAGTTTCCCATGCGGTCTCTTGGGAAAATTAATTGCCTACTCCTGGCTGAGAAGACTGTTGGGTTTGCTGTTCAACTCTTCTTCATGGCACCAGGTTGAGGTGGCCTTACTGTGGTGCTTTCAAACTTTTCCCAGATTTGGAAACTGTTAAAAAAGAAAGTTCCCCAAACCTCGGGTCTAGAGGGGGCGGTGTTAGGTATAACATTGATACCAAATATGGTTTGGGTGAATAAATAT